CCCCCCACCTCCCATCACACCGGAAACCCAAGTGCGCGTGAATAATGTCGCAACACGTGCGATCGCCATTCGTACACATATAGGTAACAAACAAGTCGTGTGTTCATTTCAAAGGAAAATTCACACGTTCACTCCCTTAACTGTTCCCAGACGAGTGTGCGACATTCACTCTCTCGCGTTTCGGTTTCCGGTACAGATCCCATATCTACGGCAGCAAAATTTTTTGCACATTGCACTTCGGCGAGCAGCTTGGGGCGCACTGGACGAGTAGGACGGGCACGGCCAGTGCAGCAAGGGTGGTTGCGGCGCGGGGTTGCGGGGGCGAGTCTGGAGGCGGCAGTTTGTGTTTATGCACCCCTCGCCCACAAACCCCCACCGACACCCCTCACCCCCACCGGTTCGTTTCGCTCCTTCGCGGCAGCGCTACGCCTGGCGCCACCTGTCGGCAGTGGGCGGAAGGTCGGGGGCGGCGCGGGGGCGGCAAGCGCAGCCTCCACAGACGGGCAAAGACGGCCAATCTCCGAGTTTCCCATTATCACGTTTGTTTGATTCGTGAACGTTCGTAAAAAATATTTTTACACACTTGGTTTAGTTGTTGTCGTTTGTTCAGCTCTTCAAGAGGGAGGTTTCATCTGCCAAAAATGAAAATCTCAATCGGAAACCAAAACATTTATTTTAATGGCCTCTCTGAAAACGAAAGTTTGCAACTCGCATGCACACATACCGGTCAACTCTCACTTCTAAGTGTTCATATTTACTTACAATTAAAACTAGGAAATTAGAACACAACCGTACTCTTAAATGTATATCTGATCTGCCTTCTCAGTCGATCTTGATTTAGCGTTTCCACAATTTCTATAACAATTATGAATCTTTGTTTAACGTATTTCTTTAATCGTGCTTTCCTCAATCATTAATGTTCTTGTTTTGCAATGTTTCAGATTTGCCACCAAAGAGTCCGCCACGCACGCCATCGTGGCGGTGCACAACACCGACATCGGCGGCCAGCCCGTCAAGTGCTCCTGGGGCAAGGAGTCTGGCGACCCGAACAACGCGCCGCCCACCACCCAGGTAAGGAACCATTCTGTTTCAAATGCTTTTTATTTCTTGCATGGTTGCCACAACTCTGGAAAACCTTGAAAACCTGTAAAACTCAGGGAAATAAAAAACTGTCAGGGAAATCAGGGAAAACTCAGGAAATATGAAAAAAAGTCTGGGAAATTTGGTTTGACTGGTCCCCAAACTGCAGTCTATTCGCCGTTTAGGTCAAATACACATTTTGACGTCCCAGTAGGGTGTTTTGTCCCAAAAGTTTTCGCGCTCGCTTCGCTCGCGGTCTTTGTATTACAGTTAGGGGTATAAGTTTGCCCCAGTACTCCACCAGGAACGGTGCTTAAAACTCAGGGAAATTCGGGGAGAAATGGTCTGGAAATCAGGGAAAACTCAGGGAAAATGGAAATGAAAATTTTGTGGCAACCATGTCTTGAGACATTCGCTACGTTTCATAATATCGTTAACTTGACAGTATTGCTTCGACATCGCCTCGATATATCGGAACGATACACTGGAAAAACTTAGGACTTTATGCCTCTCTAGGGGTGTTAAATTTTAATGCCTTTGCAAAGGCACGAAAGTGTCCAAAGGCATAAAATTTTAACAGCTTTGCGGGCAGTTTTCATGCCTTTGCTAGGGTGCTAACTTTTAATCCCTATGTAAAGGAATTAGAACCCTTCGAGTTCCTACCTTTGCTTTTCCAGTTTATTGCTTCTTCGGCATTGTCTCACCGGCGGTAGCTGCTGCCACACGTATCCGTGGAGCCCCTGTTGAGCTCTCTGGGCCTTACGAAACGGGTATTACCGGGCGAGCGGGCCTGATCGATGCCTGGGGGAGCCTGAGGGGGAATCCTGAGGGGGAGCCTGAACGGGAGCCTGAAGGGAAATCCTAAGGGGGAGCCTAAAGGGGAACTCTAAGGGGGAGCCTAAAGGGGAACTCTAAGGGGGAGCCTAAAGGCGAATCCTGAGGGGGACCCTAAAGGGGGAGCCTAAAGGGGAATCCTGAGGGGGACCCTAAAGGGGGAGCCTAAAGGGGAATCCTGAGGGGGAGCCTAAAGAGGAACCCTGAGGGGGACCCTGAGGCAAACCCGGAGCCCGGAGGGGCCCCGGTGGGCCCGGGGGGGGGTCGAGGCCGCCCTGCGGTGCCGTGCGGCTGGCTGGCGCGCGCTGGGCGAAGCGGGGCCGGGCGTGGCGGGACGCGGCGGGACGACGTATCCGGTCCTGGGAGGAATTACGCCCCACCCACGAATTTGCATTCCAATTAGCGTGAATCATTGCGCTTTGTCCCTCTTCCACCCACCGCTGCTCTCGCCTCTCGCTATGGCTTTTCTTTGATGCTTTCCGCTCTCTCTCTCTCTCTCCCTCCCTCTCTCTCCCTCTCTCTCCCTCCCTTATCCCC